GCTGATGAACCTCCTTCAATTTGGTCCATGCTTCCTCAGCAGTCAAGCAATTCTTGATGTACGCCAATTGAGATGTCTTCACACTCAATGTTATTGTTGCCAACGCCTTATTGTCCAAACCCACTCTAGTTTGTCCTTCTGGAACAATCGTGTCAGGTAGCTCTCCAGATGTTACACTCCACAAGCCGGAATGCACCAATACAGATCGCATCTGTATCTTCCACGTATCATAGTTAGTCTCCTCTAACTTATCAATTTAATAAAGAGCACTCATTGTTCTTAGTCTCGAGTCACACACCGCCTAACATAAATTCTCCAGTTCCTGGGCCCATAACCTATTGAGCGGCAGAATTTAAAGCGAGAAATCAGAACACCGTGTGTATGCTGCGGAATTTTATTTGCGACTGAATTTGAAGTTGAAGAAGAAACAAAAAGTGGGTATACATATTTTCGTCTTCTCTATTCCTTAGAGCGAGACAAATATAGATACTTCGAGATCTCTTTCCTATACCTATAGAAGCGTGCATTGTAGAGAGAAATATACAGGGTACTCTATTTTCTACACCCTTCCTCAGTGCAAGCTCGTTTACAAAAAACTATTCTCAAAACAAATTAAACATTTTTGTAAACTCTTCGTGTTTCGTTTTTGGAAGGTTTTTCGTCAAAATATCTGCTATCATTTCAGTTGTACATTTATATTTTAACAAAACTTGCCCCTTCTTAACAACTTCTCTGACAAAATGATAACGTATATCAATGTGCTTTGTTCTGGAATGATGAACAGGATTCTTGGTTAACGCCAGCGCACTCAGATTGTCTCCATACACGACGACCGGAGTGTCGTTGTCTCCGCAGCCAATCTTCATAATCAGCCTTCGCATGACAATCGCCTCCTTGAATGCCGCCGATAGTGCCATGTACTCCGCCTCGGTACTGCTTAACGCCACGCTTCGCTGCTTTTCCGAACGCCAAGAGATCGGACCACCTGCCAACAGGTAGATGTAGCCAGTATAAGACTTCCTGTCAAGTCTATCGCCTGCCCAATCCGCATCCACGTATCCACAGAACGATTGACCAGATTGCCGGTAGTGCAGTTTCATGTCAATCGTGGCTGAGAGGTATCTAAAGATGTGCTTTATGCCAGCCATGTGTTCAGCATGCGGGTTTTGGTTCCGTTGTGCCAATTTTGACACCGAATGCAATATGTCTGGCCTTGTTGTAAGAGCTAGCCACATAAGCTCTCCCACTACTGACTGATAAACAGTAGGATCCACCTTTTTGCACTGCGGGCTTGTGCAGTCCACTTGGAAACCAGCATCCAAAGGTGTCTTCGCCGATTTGCAATGTTCGCTTCCATGGGCATGCAATAAGTCCTTGATATATTGCGTATGTCCCAAAGCAATCGCTCCAAGATCGCCGTCTCGTCAATACGCCATTTAGCTTCTCGTTCCAGGCCCTTCCTGACTGCTTCAAACCATATATCGCTTTCTTCAGCAGCAATACCTTATCAGGATTCGTTTCATCTGAGTACCCTTCCGGCTGCTTCATGTAAACCGTCTCACTCAGATCGCTGTTGAGATACGCCGTGCATACATCCATTTGATGAAGATGTAGCTTGAGCTCCGCCGCCAGTGCAATAATGAACCGCACGCTCTCCAATCGGCATACCGGCGAAAATGTTTCTTGATAACTTACGCCAAACTGCTGGGAGCATCCTTTTGCTACCAGTCGAGCCTTGAAGCGTTCTATTTGGCCATCTTTATCACTCTTCACATTGAACACCCACTTGCATCCAATTGCTCGCTGATTTTTGGGTAAATCAGTGATCTGCCAAGTCTGGTTGGCAACCAGAGAATCATATTCTCTTCCCATAGCTTCACGCCACTCCTTGGCATGCGTACTCTCCATCGCCTCTTTGCAGGATAATGGAATCGGAACATTTTCCGAAACAAGGGCGCCAAGGATGTTGTACTGCTTCTTAGGGCGTCCAGGTTTTCCTTACACTTTGGCTGCCACAGAGTACCCAACCATAATGTACTCTTTGCCCTTAGGTTGAAATTTGCTGCCCTTCCTCGGACCCTTGTCCAGAGCAACTGCAAGATCTTACCCGTCCACGCTTCCATAGGAGTCATACTCTCTAATGCGCTGGTAGGGGAGCGGTTTCTCAAATAAACCGAAGTGTTGACGGCTTCTGCCCAAAAAGAATCTCCCAGACCCGCTTGAACCAGAAGGCATCTCGACATCTCCACTAGCGTACGATTTGCCCGTTCCGCAACTCCATTTTGCTGGGGAGTATACGCTATTGTTAGCTGTCTGTCAATTCCATGCTGCCTGAAACATTCGTCAAACTGTTTATTGACAAATTCTCCGCCGTTATACCTCCGCAGGCATTTAAGCCTTTTTCCTGTCTGCCGTTCCACCAGATTCTTGAAGTCGATGAATTTGAACAGCACCTCGTTCTTCCCACGCAGAAAGTAAACAAAAATCCTCCTGGACTTATCGTCGATGAAAGTCAGGAAATACTTGGAGCCTCCGAGAGAAAGTGTTGGGAAAGGTCCACATACATCTGCGTGTATCAACTCCAAAAGCTCCTTAGCCCGATTACTTGTTGCTGTTGGGAAAGGTTGGACATGGATTTTGCTAACCATGCACGTTTTGCAAATAATATTCTCTGGAAACTGAATATTATCTATCCCACGAACGATCCCTTTGGATACCATCTCTTTCATGCTAGAGAAATTAATGTGGCCGTATCTCTTGTGTAGCAAAATCCCATAAACCGATGACATAGCAAAACATTTACTGCGGCCACCCTCAAACAAGTACAAGTTGCCAATCTTTTTGGCTTTTACTATGCATTCTCCATCTTGCATCACCTTGGCATTCTCAATGTCAAAGGTCACCTTGCACCTATTCTTTACAGCACTGCTCACGGAATAGAAATTTCCGGTCATCTTCGGAACGTAAAGAACGTTCTTCAGTGTCAACATGCACAGGCCTGTCTGTATCTTGACGTCACCTATACCTTCTGCTTGAAGGAAACCAGCATCGGCCAGTCCGATCTGTTCCGTGTGCTTCTCAAACTTGGTGAATAGCTCTCTTGCGCAACACATATGGCTTGTTGCGCCACTATCCAAGCACCATGTTGAATTGCCAATGTTGTTGACGTCACAGGCGCGCAGCAGGCTGCTCTGGCGATTCACCACATCTCTCGGTACCATGCGGTGATCTCCCTCACTCCGACACTGGGACTTAATGTGCCCTTGTTCACCACACTTAAAGCAAACGATAGTTTTTCGTTTCTTCTGCCCATAGCTCTTCGTCTGTGAGTTGTGCTTCTGTGTTGCAGCGAATGCCTTAGTATTGTCGACTCGTTCTTCTGCAATTCCTTTTCTTTCGCTCTCCTCCTTTAACTTTATGGTGAGAACCTCGAACGAAGGCAACTGATCTCGTGTCTCCATAGCAACCACGAAATGTTCAAATTGTTCTGGAAGGCTCGATAGCAAAACGATAGTGCGTAGTTCGTCGTTTAGCTCTATTCCAACTCCAGTTAGACCATCCAGAATTTCCACAAATTCACTTATGTATGCCGTCATGCTCTGCCCTTTTTTTTTTGTATTCGATATATGTTTATTACACTTACAATAGACCTACACTACATATACACATAGTTGGCTTTACAGTTACAGAAGAATTTGAATCGGACGCCCAGCGGTACCGCCGCCTGGCATTGCTTCGTGGGCGCTGTGACCCCTACTCCGTCTGCTCCTTTCGCCTTCGCTCCTGCTCCCTGAGAGACTTCATGACATCCGCGGCGAATGTCGCTGCAGCCTCCCACACACACTGGTCTGCCAACATCAACGGCACCAGTGTCTCTGGCAAGATACTGGACCCTACTACCGCCTCCAACTTCTGACGCTCGTGGTCAAACCGGTGGCACTCGAACAGCACGTGCCGCGCGTCCTCGACGACGCCGGAGCCGCACACTGGGCACCAGTCCTCCGTCTCGTGGCCGAATCGCTTAAGGTAGCTGCGGAAGCAGCCATGACCGCTGATCACCTGGGTGAGGTAGAAATCTACCTGCCCATGCGACCTCTCTACCCAGCTCGTAAGGTTGGGGATGAGCGTGTGCGTCCAGCGTCCTGTTTGCGACGAGTCCCAGCGATTCTGCCAGTTCTCGAGGCTTCTCCTTCTGGCGGTAATCTTCGACTCTGCTCTAGTCTGCTGGGTTGCTTCCCTGATCTGCGCGGCTGCGTAGATATCCGCCCTCTCCCGAACGAGCTCCGTCAACGGGACTTGTCCGGCGATGACCAGCGCCGCGTCTTCCGAAATGGTTCGGAAGGCGCACGCGATCCTGACGGCGCACAGCCTATAGGTTGCCTCCACCCCTCGCACGTAGCTTTTTACCTTAGCTGCTTCCGCCCACACTGGCGCTGCATACAGCATCTGCGACGTCACAACCGTCGTGAGCAGTTTCCGGGTTGCTTGCTTCGGCCCTCTGGTGTTTATCAGCATCCTGGATAGAGCTCCCGCGGTTCCGCTGGCCTTCTTGTGCACAAAGTCCAGGTGCTCCTTGAAGCACAGGCGCGTGTCCAGGAGAACGCCAAGGTACCGGATTGCCCGCTGGGACCGTATTGTGGTTCCACCGACCCTCATGCTAGCTGTCTCCACCGCTTTTCGACTTGAGACAAGCACCGCCTCCGTCTTGTGGGCCGCCAGCTGCAGCCCTGCGTTCGCTAGCCACGACTCTACAGCCTGCACCGCTGCGTCAGCGTGAGCCTCCACCATAGCTAGCTCCTTGGCTACCACCACTATGGCGACCTCATCGGCAAAACCAACCAGGCTGGTGCCCTCTGGCATTGGGAGTCTCAGCACTCCATCGTACATGGCGTTCCAGAGCAGGGGTCCCAAAACGGAGCCCTGCGGGACTCCGGCTGAGACTTTGTATGCTCTGGAACCCTGGCATGTGTCCGTCGTGAGCACTCTGTTGCTAAAGTAGCTTAGCGCTATATTGAGCAGGTAGCTTGGGATGTTAAACATCCTCAGGGACTCCAGTGTCCGCCCCCAATCAGCCGTATTGAACGCGTTCCTAATGTCCAGAGTTACCACAAGACAGTAGGATTTCGTTCCTCCTCTCCACCTGGAACCAGCGATGGCTTCCCTAGCTGTCTCGACCACCTTCATGATGGCATCCATGGTCGACCTTCCCTTCCTGAAGCCGTATTGCTCAGTGGATAGGCCGCCCGCTGCTTCGATGGCTTCTGTCATCCTGGTTGCGATCACCCTCTCGAAGACTTTGCCTACTATGTCCAGCAGGCAGATTGGCCTGTAGGAGGAAGCCTCTCCTGGTGGCTTGCCTGGCTTGGCCAGCAATAACAGCCGTTGCCGTTTCCACCTTACAGGGAACGTACCTTCCTGGAGGCATTTGTTGAAAAGCCCGGCCACCTGCTCCGGAGGCAACGCTAGAGCCAGCTTTGTCGCTCTGCTAGGAATCCCGTCGGGTCCCGGCGCCTTCTTGGGTTTTATGTTTCTGCCGGCCTGCAGTACCTCGGCTTCCGTGACGCTGCGGAACTCTCCTGGCTCAGCACTTGGGAAGCTTCCGACAGGTTGACCATCTGGAAATAGGGCTTTGACGATCCCCTCCAGTGCCTCCGGGTCGGATGGGGCGTTTCCCCCCGCGTTGAGCTTCTTCACCGTCATCTTGTACGCGCCTCCCCATGGATCATCCTCGGCGGCATCGCACAGCTTCAGGAAGCTTTCCCGCTTGCTGTCTCTAATAGCGATCTTCAGCGCCTTTCTCGCCGCTTTATATCGCTCGCTACGTTACACAAGGAGCGGGCTGCTTCTTGCTCGCTGAAGCAGTCTTCTGGAGCGGTGACAGATGCGGCGTAGCTCAGCGATCTCCTCGCTTCACCAGAAAACCGGGCGGTGGTTTCCTCGAAATGGCCTCCTCTGGAGCATGCTCTGGTCACAGGCGTTTTCCAAGGCGTCAGCCAGCTTGTTTGCCATCCCGTTAGCTCCGTCCGCATCGTCCACTGAGAATCCCTCAAGGGCGCTTACAAAGGCCCGAGGTCTGAAGGTGTCCTGCCGGAACGCCCTTCTTGGTAGAGGTGGGGGGCCACTGGGTCGGCCGCCCAACCCTAGCGTGCACTCGATGGCCTCATGATCGCTGGCAGTGTAGACTTCCCCGATCCTCCAACAGGCGTGGCGGGCCAGCGCACTGCTAGCGAAAGTGAGATCGATGACAGATCCCGCGCCCGCCCTGCTGAAGGTCTGCCGGGAGCCTTCATTCAAGAGGACGACGTCCAGCGAGGCAAAGGTTTCCAGCACCGCGCGGCCTCTTGCGTTTGTCCGAGAAGATCCCCATTCGGTAGCCCAGGCGTTGAAGTCGCAACCGACCACCGCGTTGCTACGTCCCCGGAGGTCGATGCTCAACTCATCCAGGATCCGACCGAAGGACTCCAGCGATAGGGTGGGCGCCAGGTAGCAGCTGTATAGCCACGTGCCGCCAACATTTGCTCTGACAAAGCCGTCAGTCGCCTTGATGTCACTCATCTGCTGCGCACCCGCTCCGCATAGCCATAGGGCCGCTTTGCCAGTACGGTCCGTGGCCCAGTCTCGGCTGCTTCCTATCCTGTATGGCTCGCTGAGGATAGCTACCTCCGAGCCGCGTTCGCGCACCGTCTGCGTCAGAAGATCCTGCGCGGCCCTGCAGTGGTTCAGGTTTAACTGGATTAGCTGCATGTGGTTGGTTTATTCCCTTTCCCTCCGCCAGCAGCTGGACAGCCGCTGCCGCCAGCCTGGTGCGTTGTGTCCTTACTACCGGCCGCCTTGCAAAGGACACAAGAGGGCTCGTTGGCGCATATGGCTGCTTTGTGGCCCGACTCTCCACATTTGATGCAGCAGGCGCTCCTATCCACCGGGTTCTTGCAGTGGATCGCAATGTGCCCGGTTTCCAGGCATCTGAAGCACCTTGGTGGACCGGATCTTTCCCGTATCCTACACATCGACCATCCGATGCGCACCTCGCCACGCTGCAGAACTGCCTTGCCCAATGGGATGGGCAGGCTGACCACCGCCAGCTGCGTCTCTGAGTGGCCGCGGCGCATGCTCCGGACTCTCACGCGTCCTACTTCGAAGTTGAATTGGCCGGCGATGGCGGCACAGACCTCATCCTTCGAGGTGATGGAGTCGATGTTTCGGATCTCCAAGACCAGCACTTTCGTGCTCTCCGTCGACGCACGAACAGTCGCGGAGTCTCCGAGTACCCTCTCGATGCTCTCCTTCATGGTCTCGGCGCTCTCCACGCTCCCTCTGGCCACCTCCAGGAGCAGGTTGCCGTTGTTAGTGCGACGGACCTTGGAGACACAGGCACCCAGGGCCGACAACTGCTTGTCGCCCCTCCTGGTCACCATGGCTAGCACCTCGCTGTAGGACTTGCCGTTTGCCTGCACGATGACAGCATCAGGACGTCCACGGCGCGCTGCCCTCGGCTTCTTGGCAACTACCTCCCATTCCCCAGAGGGTTTTCCGGGGTTCTCGAGAGTCCGGGCGGCAACGTGGGCCTCCGCGGGCTCTGGCTGGGCTCCTTGAGGCTTTTTCCGGGGCTTTTTGGGCCCTTTCGCGATTCCCTGCTGCGCTGCGCCAGTTGGTGTAGGGGCAGTCGCAGATGCTGGTAGTTCCGGCCAATTTGGCTGGCTCAGCCTTCGCCAGGGCTCTGTTTGAGCAGTAGCATCCTTCATCCATACTGTCGGTGTCTGCTGCTCCTTGTCGACGCAGAGTATGCACTGGGCGCATTTTGGGCACCGGCTGTTTCCGGCCTGGCTCTCCTGCCCTTCGTTGGCGCCCGCAGCAGCCGCTCTGCTTGCCGCAAGGATGTTTGCGTGCAGTGCCTTCATTTTGGCAAACATTTCCCTTGTTGAGACAGTGATGTGACGCGTCGTCTTATCCATCATTTTCGTGGAAACCTCCTGCAGCAGTTTCCCCAGTTCTTGGAGATCCTGCAGGCTGGCTGCCTCCTCCGATGCCTTGCTCTTTTTGGCAGGCGTGGATCTCTGCGAACTGGTCGGGCTCGCAGGATCCCGTGTCCTCTTGGGAGGCGGCGTAGAGCCTGGCCCAGGGCTCCGCCCATCCTCCATTGTTTCCAGCTCAGTGGGCGTTCGGGAGAGCTTGCTGCTCCTCTTGAAGGCAACTGCTTCATCCCCTTCCCTCTGGGGCGACCTCGCTAGATCCGAACCGCCCACAAAGGGGTTTATGTCCTCTCATGCTCTGCCCTTGCTCCATCTGTTTGTTGAGCAGTTTCTTGTACAACTGTACCTTTCGTACAGGTCCGCTTGGCTGATGAACCTCCTTCAATTTGGTCCATGCTTCCTCAGCAGTCAAGCAATTCTTGATGTACGCCAATTGAGATGTCTTCACACTCAATGTTATTGTTGCCAACGCCTTATTGTCCAAACCCACTCGAGTTTGTCCTTCTGGAACAATCGTGTCAGGTAGCTCTCCAGATGTTACACTCCACAAGCCGGAATGCACCAATACAGATCGCATTTGTATCTTCCACGTATCATAGTTAGTCTCCTCTAACTTATCAATTTGATAAAGAGCACTCATTGTTCTTAGTCTCGAGTCACACACCGCCTAACTTAAATTCTCCAGTTCCTGGGCCCATAACCTATTGAGCGGCAGAATTTAAAGCGAGAAATCAGAACACCGTGTGTATGCTGCGGAATTTTATTTGCGACTGAATTTGAAGTTGAAGAAGAAACAAAAAGTGGGTATACATATTTTCGTATTCTCTATTCCTTAGAGGGAGACAAATATAGATACTTCGAGATCTCTTTCCTATACCTATACAAGCGTGCATTGTAGAGAGAAATATACAGGGTACTCTATTTTCTACATTAATTAGAGGCACAGCAGAGCACCTATAAACCACCCCCAAAATGTAGCGAAAACGCTATATAATGTGTAATTTGTCATAATAGGCATAGGTTAATTTTTTTTCTCTTAAGTTCAAGCAGTCATAAAAAGCTTTTCTTTTTCGGTAAAAATTATTCAAAAATTTAAATTGGCAAAAATGAAAGACAAGGTAGAATAATCGGAAACCTGCAAAGAAAAGTGAAAAATATAAATATAAAAATATACCTAAATGAGCAAAAATAATTGAGTGAAAAAGAAAACAAGTGCATATAAATGAATAAATAAAACCCTGCCTCTGATAAAAAACATACACCCCCCCCTCGCCAAGAAATTGTTTCCAGCATCTCGCCGTCCAAAGATCTTTCGACGATGGAGCTGCAGATAACCATGTAAGTGAAACAACATGCCTTTTAATTCATTTTCTTTTTGTTTTGCTCGCGGCTAAGCTTTTTGTGCATTTTTAATAAATAGGTCACTGATAACGAAAATGTGCAAAAGCTTAGCAAACATAAATGCATTTTTGCTCCGCTACTCGATCGCTACACTGAGCGAAGAATTTTCGTGAAGTAACATAAAAATAATATAATTTTCGATTTCTCTTATTTAATTAAATTAATTAATTTGCTCATAATGAATATTATACCGTAAATATTAAAATTTAAAATTAAAATTTTAATTTCCTTAATTTCCTAGCTTAGGTTCTGGCAGTGTATACCTATGATTAGAAAAAGCTCTCTCTTGTTAAAGTAAACTTTCCGTATGACAGTATACACTGTAATTTTTTTTGTATAAATAAAACATGGAAACCAAGAAAGGAAGCTAGCTTCGGCACGCCGAAGTTTGTATACCCTTGCAGATTGGTTTTGATGTTTATATTATTGATTTAAATTCTGAAAACACTCACAAAACAGAGTTTCATTACTTATTATGTTTACAGTTTGACAGTTACAGTTTTACATTCCCAGCTATACATATTTTATACATTTACCGATCGCTTCTATGGCAGCTATAAGATATAGTTGTCCGATTTTTATGAAATGTATACCAAAATTCTAGAATAATAAAAAAAGGTTATATCCCAGAGTAGATAAAAATACGTTGAAAAACAACGAAGTTATCATTTTTTTCCTATTAATTGCCCGATTGTTCCTATGGCAGCTATAAGATATAGTCGCCCGCTTTTTTATAAAATTAAATGTGAAATTCTGAAATAATAAAAAATGGCTATATCTCAAGGAAGATGAAAATACCGTGAAAAACAACGAAGTTATAATTTTTTTCTGTTAATTGCCCGATTGTTCCTATGGCAGCTATAAGATATAGTCATCCGATTTTCATAAAATTTTTACCAAATATCTGTAATAAAAAAAAATGACCATATCTAAAAAATGGTGCAAAAATGTTGAAAAACAGCAAAGTTATAATTTTTTTTCTAAAAATTTATCGAACATTTGTATGGCAGCTATATGATATAGTCGTCCGATCCGGCTCGTTCCGACATATATAGCAGTGAGAGCAGAAGACTATATGCAAAGTTTCATTCAGATAGCTTTAAAACTGAGGGACTAGTTTGCGTAGAAACGGACAGACGGACAGACGGACATGGCCAGATCGACTCGGCTATTGATTCTGATCAAGATTATATATACTTTATAGGGTCGGAAACGTCTCCTTCACTGCGTTGAAAACTTCTGACTGAAATTATAATACCCTGCAAGGGTATAATAATGGAATTGATTTAAATAATTTTTTTTGCGATCTTAATTTTGCTAATATTTTGCAAAGCTTTTAACTTCTCTAAATAAAAGCCGTAATTAATAAATAATGGCAAAATTCTCTACATTTAATTTATTAAATTAATTTATCATTAGTTATTCGGTATAGTTTTTTTTTCTCTTATTTTACTCATTTATTAAAATATATTATATTATGTAATATACGCTATGAAGTACTATATTTTATACATTTAAATTTCTATATTTCTAATCCCTTTACTTTACAGCAGTGTTTTCTCGAATTATTCTTTTTTTTTTTAGAATGTCAAGTCAATTAGAATAAATGTAAAATAAATGAAGTTGTCTTAGATTTACTTTTGCTTTATCTTCTGCGTTAATATTAAATTAGTAGAGAACAATTATGAATTTTAGAAATAAAGTTGTTATTATGTTGGAAGTCGAGTAGAGTTTTTTTTGGAAACCATACTCTTACCAAGGGATGTCCTGAAACAGAATAACTGACCAAGGGATCGCCAGCCTTGTCAAAGGGAGCTGAAACTCCATCACAGCTTCCCTGTTTAGTTGTCCAGTGCCTTCTCTTTCCTTTCCCTTTCCTTTTCTTTCGTTTCCCCTCCGTTCCTCAACCAAGTACGCGAATAAAATTAGTTATTGTACGTCTAGAGAGCTTGTGAGATCAGTACTTCTCTTCCATACCCACTCCCTACTACCGAACTAATTTTGAGCCAGAACCAGCGCGTACATCCCCACTGCAGCTCACTCCCAACATCAGCTCGCCCCCAAAACATACGTTACACGTTACACTTTCGGGTCCGATCTCTGCTGACTTTCGAGTCCAATCTCTGCCGACTTTCGGGTCCGAACTCTGCTGACTTTCGAGTCCAATCTCTGCCGACTCGAGTCCCATCTCTGCCAGCTTTCGGGTCCGATCTCTGCTGACTTGCGAGTCCACCCTCTGCTGACTTTTGAGTCCAATCTCTGCCGACTTTCGGGTCCGATCTCTGCTGACTTGCGAGTCCACCCTCTGCTGACTTTCGAGTCCAATCTCTGCTGACTTTCGGGTCCAATCCCTGCTGACTTTCGAGTTCATTCTCTGAGCAGACTTTCGAGTCCAACAGCAACTTCTCCGAGCAGACTTTCAAGTCCAACAACAACTTCTCCGAGCAGACTTTCGATTCCAACAGCAACTTCTCCGAGCAGACATTCGAGTCCAACAGCAACTTCTCCGAGCAGACTTTCGAGTCCAACAGCAACTTCTCCGAGCAGACTTTCGAGTCCAACAGCAGCTTCTCCGAGCAGACTTTCGAGTCCAACAGCAACGCTTCTCCAAGTAGACTATCGAGTCACTCAACCATCCTCAGAGCAGACTTGCGAGCCCCAAGCGACTGGCGGCAAACGGACCTGCGCGCCCACCAACAACAACCCGCCGCAACCCCGACCGGAGCCGACAACCTCTCTTCTCTCGCTTTCCCAGGCACGAGCTGCAACCTGCGACCTACAGAAGCGAGAAGACCCACCTAGACGCAACCCGAGCCATCAGTTGGTCGCCAACGCAGCCCAAATCCAGTTCAAATCACCTAACTGTAATATTCCGTCAATAAACCGTACTCTTAATCTTTACTGTATTTACCTCTCGAGTTCTCCCTGGGGGGTAACGGATCAGGGAAAAATCTTTACAGCAACCACACCTGAATCAAATAAATATTCCTGCACGAACCCTGGACGTCCCGCTGACTACCCGTGGACGACAGGACGTTACACTCTTCACCACCATTCTGTAGGCTCCTCCCCAAGGATCCTCATCAGCGGCGTCGCACAGCTTGAGGAAGCACTCGCGTTTGCTGTGCCTGATGGCAAACTTCAGCTCCTTTCTTGCCACCTTGTACCGATCGTTGCACATGAGAAGACGCGGGGTGCCTCTGGCTCGCTGCAACAGCCTTCTGCTTCGGAGGCATTTGCGGCTACGGTCAGCAATCTCCTCGCTTCACCAGAACACCGGAGAGTGGTGCTTCCTAAACGGCTTCCTCTGTAGCATGCTTTGGTTGCACGCGTCCTCTACTGCAACTGCTAGTTTGTTGGCCGACTCGTTGGCTCCAGCACCCTCCTCTGCCGTGAAGCCCTCGAGGGCGTTTGCAAAGGCCCGCGGCCTAAAAGTGTCTTGCCTGAACGCCTTCCTACCCGGGAGTAGGGACCCTCTTGTGCGGTGTGCGGTGTGCGGTGCCTATCGAGCACACAATGGCCTCGTGGTCGCTGGCGGTGTAGGCCTCTCTGAGCCTCCAGCGGGATCGACTGGCAATCGAGCTACTGGCGAATGTGAGGTCGATTACCGAACCCACCCCTGCCCTGCTAAAGGTCTGCCTGGAGGCTTCGTTCATAAGGACTACGTCCAGGGAGGCGAAGGTCTCCAGCACCGCTCGGCCTCTGGCGTTGGTCCGGGAGGATCCCCATTCCATGGTCCAGGCGTTGAAGTCGCCGCCAACCACGACGTTGCTCCGCCCACGCAGACCGCTGCTCAGCTCATCCAGGATCCTGCCGAACGCCTCCAGTGAGAGACTGGGTGCCAAATAGCAGCTGTACAGCCAAGTGCCGCCGACGTTCGCCCGGACGAAGCCTTCCGAAGCCTTTGGTGTCGCACAGCTCCGGAGGATCCGCTCCGCAGAGCCACAAGGCCGTCTTGCCAGAGCGGTCAGTGGCCCAGACGCGGCTGCTACCA